TGGGGTTGCTGGAAAGCAGAACGTGTTCTTAAGCCGGTTTTTGGTTTCTCTTGATTAAATCAGAAGAACTGTTATCCCAGGGTCAGCATTCCCTTGTGGCAATTATCAGTGACAGCTGAAGAGCTACTGCTCTGCCCTTACCCTCCCCACCCAGGTTTGCTGGGATGCAAGAATATGTGTGTCCTCTGCCTGTTTCATTCATTTAAGTGGCTCCTATAGGCATCTGACTTTATGGTCTCTGTTTTAGCTTCTGCTTCAGATTACCATTAGCTTGCTTGTGATATTGGTCCTCTCTGGATCATGTGAGCCACATTTGTGAGACCGTTGGTTCTCCATTTAGCTGCACATTAGACTCACCCGGAGTGCTTTTAGAATGCACTGATATCAGAGTCCACACTATATCTGGGACTGGGGCCTAGGAATCACTGTTTTGTAGAAGCTTCTTATGCAATTCTAATGTCTACCCAAGGTTGAGATGAGGGAGTGTCATCATATCTGAGTTCATGACGTTCTTAGGAAACCTGACTCTGATTTTCAGTCATGATCCATGTGTTCTGAAAGAACTTGGAAGAAAGGTCTAATTATAATAAAATGATTATAATTTGTTTGTTTTATTTGCAAGATAGTTGGAATATCGTGGATATCTGTACTGTTGTTTACACTTAAACAAGAATCATGGCTGTTGTTTTGTTTACACTTAAAGAAAATGGAGATTTAGGAAATATCTAGGTAACTTTGGGGCTATGAATGATCTGCTTTGACATGATATGTCATCATATGAATTTTGATAACAGCCAAATCATCTTTTGGTCCATGAACACAGCTTCAGGGAGCTGCTTGCTTTCTCTGAGCTAGTGATTTGGTTCCTATTTTCTGAACGCAAACACGACAATATGGATGGCTGGAAGGGGAGGGGAGCAATATAAACAAAGCTAAAACCAGCAGAACTAATGCCATTTTGTTATGTCAGTGGTGTTTGATGATCCAGATTATTTCTGAAATTATTTGTTAGGCTGACTACATTTTTCTACCCTAGAAGCACATGCTTCTTAAAAGCATGTGGAAGTCCTAAGGCAGTTACAAGGTACTTGTTCTTGGGGTAAGGTTCTATTCTATTTTCAGATTCCTGTATGATCGTTGTTGTTAGTACAATCTTTACATGCTGAGAAAGCAGCTGCTGCAGATGTAGTGACTTCATTTTGAGTTCAGTTTTGGGCCCCAAATTGAGCTGAAATAAATGATTACATAAGCCACATAAACTCCATCTCCAAGAACACTGGCCTTTTCTTTTTTTTCCTTTCAAAATATCCCTAGGCGCCAGCTCACATTATAAACTAATGACCTGAAAAAATTCTTCTTAAAACACAAAGAGTTGTGAGTGCAAAAATGTGCTTTCAATCAGTGATCCCTTTTTTCCCCTGAAACAATGAAATATCTCCTGAAACACCAAACAGACCTCGGGATAGGCCTGCACTGAGTGATAGCCAGCAGAATTGATCAAGGTGGATATGGTTAATTCCGTTTGAGAAAGGCATGAAAACTATTTCTTCAAAGTCCCCATTTCCCTCCTTCCTCCTTGCCCTTCATTTGTCTCAGTGTGTTCAGTTGCTTTGCTGATATGTAGTGGAATTTTTTCTCTGTTAAAGTGGTTCTCACCAGGCATACTTTTATACATTTCGCTAGTAAGCTTAGTCTCTCAAGTCCATTGCCACTTCCACTGATTGACTGTTCTATTTATTTTTTGTAATAGTTATATGCCAGATGCTTATGGGATTCATTTTCTTTCCAAGAATGTTAAAAGGGTCAATAATCTTATTAAAAATATTTCCTTGGAAAAAATTAAACTATAGCTTTATTGAAAGAAATTCACATTACTGCTTTAGACTCTTGGAAAACAGTTGGAAACTGTTAATATTGTAGCATAATTTTCACTAAGGAACTCTGGTAGCATAGTGCCTAAGGCACTTGACTGCTCACCAGAAGGCTG